CCTCCATAGGCAGGGGTTTGTCTGCTGGAGGGGTAGGGGGAGGGGGCGGAGGGGTCTGGGAGGAGGGGAGAAGGCCCACCTCACACCCCATCAGAGGGATGGGCTGTGAGGTGGAAGAAGAAGGAGAAGAAGAAGAAATGATAGAAGAGGGGTGAGGGGGAGGAGAGGGGGTGGAGGAAGAGCCCTCCCTGTCCTCCATTAGAACCCCATAGCGGTCAGAGAGTGGCACTTCAAAGAGGGTTGCCACAGGGATAGCAGCGGGCTTTCTGTTCTTAGTAATCTTAGGCACAGAGACTTGCCTGTTGACCGTGGGCTTTGGGAGGTCGGCAGTAGAATTACTTGCTGACCTCGTGACCATCTGGGCTGCCTTTGAATACGACCGGCCAATGACTGGGGTTGTGATTGGCGGGAAGACAACCTTACGGGCCTCCTGGAAGGAGCAGCCATTTCGCGCCTTGTATTCCTGGATGGCGCGTTCTTGGAGCCAAGTCGGGCACTCCGTGCTGAAAGCTGTGTGCTGGCTGTGGCAATTGGGGCAACAAGGACTAGCCTTGCATTCCTTCTCAGGATGCCCGGTCTTGCCACAACGGGGACATACGGCTGCGTGACGGCAGCGTGACTGGCTATGGCTGAACTTCTGACACTTGAAACAGCGCAAAGGGTTCGGCACATAGGGTCGTACGTCGAGTAGCAAGTAAGATGCCCGAACGGTGCCTGGAGGGCGACACGATTCGAAAGTGAGGACGATCGTGTTCCGGCGGGCTTTGACCACTCCCTCACAGTGCTCCACAATTTCTTCCATGGAGCAGCCTTTCAGCTCATGGCTGCGGACGATGCCTTTCGAGCGGTTGGATTTCTGGTGGCGCTCGGACCTACATGGAATACCGCCGAAGGTCGCGGTATCCAGGAGTTTAGTCACTTCGTCTTCAGTTGCGCACTTGACGAGGAGTACACCAGAGGACAGCTTCTGGACATTCGTAGGAATGTATCCCAGAACCTGTCGTAGTGCATCTCCCGTCTTGAACAGATTCAGATCAGTGATCTTCTTCTGTGCCCTTTCCTTGCAACAGATGGCCACGTACGGCTGCTTCGGAAGCTCCCTGGGAGAAGGGAGAAAAGAAACAACGGTAAAGGTCCTTTTACTTGTTTTTGAATTTTTCTCGGCTCGGTGGCCGCACCCGCTTCCGCGAGCCGTATCTTCTTCACGTTGGGAGCTGGGGAAGGGTCTATTTTAGATTTGGATTCCATGAGAGTTTTTAAAAATTTTATTCCATTCCGGGGCTCCCCGCCCGCCACGGAGACCAACAAGACACATTGCTCGGATGACCAGAGCTGTGCTAGGGCTACCCCGGAGCTATACTCTCAACGAGAAAGTACAAGACCCTCCCGTCAAGATTGACCCAGGGCTTGATGGGGTTTCAGCTCTCAACCAATTGAGTGGCATGGGCCGTGCCACCCTCCTGTCTAAGAGGAAAACCATAACAAAGAGGTGTGTTGGCGAGGGACAGTCCGTGGACTGATCTCACCTCAACCGCCAGGTACCCGGTTTCCCTCCGCACGGGTCGCACCTCACGGTCAACGAGGCGCCCACTCTGTGGGATGGGTGACCTCTCTTTTTGCTGCACATGAGGTCAGCGGTGGTAGGAAAGATAGAAGAAGAAAGAAAGAAGGAAGGAGAAGAGGAGGATACACCAAAGTAGGTGTCGCATCAGGATCTCAGAGGATTGGGGTCCGTTTGCGACACCTCGCCTTTGAAGGAGTTGCACCTTCTGCAGACGAAGCAGTGGGTCTATTTATATCCCCCGACCCACTGGGGGTGCAATGACGTATAACTCATCGGTGTCTTACAGTAATTACTTTTCTGACCCATACCTGACTCTGGTGACGTCAACGACACGTTGTTGTAACGTCTCCCGTCATCGCAATCTGCCTGTGGGGTGTTAGATTTATTGTTTATCGAGGTGGTTTTCCCGATCACGATCTGAGTGTTAGCCTTCTTTGCGTTAATCAGGACCATATCTGCGTCTACGTACTGATTTTCTTTTGACCGTTCTGTGGATCAAAAAGAACAAAAAGACGTCGCCGAGAGGAACAAGAATCTCCACCGAACTGCGTAGGCATATCGTTCAGTGGGGAACTTTGACAGACAAGGTGAAATCATTTGTAAGCAGTGGCGGGGCGCCATAGGTGCAATTGGTGCAAACGCTCCACCTGACCCTGGCCTCCCCCCCCCCCCCTTTTCTGATTGTCCTAAACCAGTCAGTGCTCTAAATCTAGATATTAGGCTAGGCCTACTACATCCTTAGATCCGTCACCCGCTGGCTGCGCCAGTGAAGAGACAGACAGCGAGGAGGGTTTATGCTCGTCACACCACTTGGGGTTGTGTCTGCTGGGAGCAAGCAAAATCTTTGCACCAAAGTTATTTTTGTCCCTGTAGAGAAATCTCGCAAAACCCTTAACATCACAAGACGAGACAGGCAGAGAAATGAAGAAGTAAGAGCAGCTATATGGCACTGAGTTCTGCCTGCGTTACATAGAAAGACAGAGGATAAAATGGTTTGGCCACCTGTTATGCATGTCACCTGACCAGCCAGCCTCGAGAGCCTACAACACCAAGCACTCAGGCTGTAAAGGAAAAGGAAGGCCACGCAAAAGGTGGATCGAGGGAGTCAAGGAAACTCTAAGAAAACATAATACCACAACTGAAAGAGCTGCGGAGCTGGCCTACCATAGAAAACTGCATCTCCCCTCGACGCTTAACGGCAACAGAGGATGAAAAAGTAAGTAAAAGTAAGTAGAGAAATCTAGGCATCGTTCTTCCCTCACAAGAAGAAAGGTGCATGAAACTGCTCTTCGCAGCATTAATTTGGTGCAAGCTATAAATTTGATTCAAGTTTCCGCGAGCTTATCTACTATACTAGTAGAGTCTGCGGTAACTCAATGAAGAATGGGTATCGAAACTGTTGTCTCCCTCTATTGTGTAGCAAGTCCTGGTGCTGCACGAAATAATTAGAAATCTTTAAAACTTCTCAGATTGTCAACATAGTGAGTTGTTAGTATTGTTTTACTGTATTGCAGCTTTTATGCGGTTTCATTTGGACGGGATAACCTGCAGATTCTAATTGATTTTCTCTAGAAATCTTAATTGTAGCTACTATGCCTATTGCTCATTTTCTCACTTTCCAATCGTGCACAACCTTGTCTGCAACCCACGCACGCGACGCCACCGTTTGCAAGTAAAGTGACTTTATGGGTTTAACGCCACTGTCAAAACTAAAAGGTTATTTAAGAGGCAAGACCTCCAAATTTAACGTTTGTCTTCAACAAGACCGAGTCAAAAGATTTGAAAATCTTGAAAACTCAACTAAATGACCCAAATTCAAGAATGCCCAGTCTGGGATTTTAGCGAGAGCCATCTGTTCCGTTGTCAAACATGTATAAATTGTAATTGAAAAGAGCAATGAAAAACGTATACACCGGTCCCTTAAACGTTTTACCTTTTCGAGAAAAGAGTCAAAATTTCAAATGCTTCTTTCTTGGAAATTATTTTTAAGATATCACACCTTGAATTTAAACCGCCTTATTTTTTTTTATTCAATTTTTAAAGATATGATTAATTCGCTTTTATTGCTGTTGGTTTGTTTGTTTCTTTGTTTATTTCTCTATTACAGAATAAAAGTTCAATTGACGTTAGGAGTACATTTTGCCACGGACACAAACACGTTTTTCAATGCTTTGACCTTTACCTTCCTGTTTCGTTGTTGACACCGATGACGTCACTGATGTGTTATTAAAACGTCTCTCGTCACCGTCTGTCTGTGTAACGATTACCGCCACGGTTTTTCCATTCAGGACCGGGGTGTGGATGTCCTGTGACGATATGTGGTCCGAATCCACGTCCACGTACAGACTTTCTTCTCGGTGGCCTGTGGATGGAGACGCAAGGAAAAAAATTGTGAAATAACATATGTATGTTTAACCCCCTTTTAAGACTGTGGGGTTATTGAAGAGGCGGGACCTCCGAATTTTACGTCAATCTCCGATACGACCAAGCGAGTTTGGTGGAGAGCCTTAACAGTGTCACCTGCTATGTAACCCAACAAACATGGTACCAACTGAGCTAACGGAGCGCCGTAGCATGACAATGCGTTATAAAGGCAAAGACAAGTAATTTCTGTGTTTCTTTCTTATTTCCCTTTTTTCATTCATTTTTTTTTAAATTAACAAAGTGGTTTTATTTTTTCTCTTTAATTTACACAAATACCCTGCTTTATGTTTTAGTTTCGTTCATACCAATGTACATACTACAATAACGTGATTCAAGCCTTGCGTGATGGATTTACCCGTTGTTTTTTACTGTTTCATTTTTTTGCATTATATGGCATTGTACCCAGTAAACTACTGAAACAGGTGAAGGAGTCTATACATCTTGACAGCTGTGCCTCTGACAACAGGCCCATGGACAGTGAAAAAGAAATGAGAACTCAAAAAGCCAACGCTCTCACCTACCAGCTCGAGCTCCTTTTGTGTCGCCCAAACATCTCCATGGACACAAAGACACAGCTTATCACTTCAATGTTTATACCAACATTATGCTACCTGTGCGAGAACTGGACATTATAAGTAAAACACAATAAAGCAAAATCCCTGCACGCGATATGAAAAGTATCCGCAAAACCCTTTATCATAGTAGAGGGTTTTACAGCGCTCGCAACTGCATACGGTCATATGAGCGCCAGCAAAACCCTTAACATACAAGACGAGACAGTTAAGAAATTAAGAAGTAAGAGGAGCTATCGACATTGAGTCCTGCCTGCATTTCAAAGGGGAAAACAACAAAAAATAAAAATGGTTTGGCCACCTATTACTAATGTAACCTAGCCAGCCAGCCCCAATAGCCTATATATAACACCAAGCACTCAGGCTATAAAGGAAGAGGAAGGCCACGCAAAAGGTAGATTGAGGGTGTCCAGGACGCCCTGAGAAATTATTATATTCGGTCTTGCCAAGATTATCCTGCAAGGCAGCGTCCAGGGAAAAAGGAGCAGAAGCAGATGGGAGAAGATTTGGGAGTGCAACATCAAAGAATGGACAGGCCTGGAACTCCAAGACAGGCTCAGGAAAGCAGAAGACCGGAAGGAGTGGAGGAAGCTGGTGACCAAATTTTCAAAAGCGCCCAGATGGACATCCAGTCTACAGGATAGGTGAAAGGGGAAAGGTGAAATGAAAGAACTACGGAGCTGGCTTATCGTAGAAAAGTGCATCTCCCCCGACGCTTAACGGCTACAGAGGAGGAAAAAGTAAAAGTGAGATAAACGTTTTACCCAATTGACGTTTTGCTTTATTGGTCTTAACAATCAGGAAACGACAAATAACGTTTTTGGGACCGCTGAATAGACATAAAGGTCTAGAACATCTAGCTCTCACAGGCAAAACTGAAGGCAAACGAGGCAGTGGTGAGCCTAGAGCAACCTACTTAGGGAAACAAACTAAACAAAATATAGGTAACCGGCAAAGATCAGAGAAACGTAGATTTTTTAAAGAACTTCCGAGCAAAGGAATGAATAGAGAACCGTGATCGCCGATGTCTGTCGCAGATCTGGCACTGAATTAACGAATGAATGTCTAAATACGGCGCAGTGCTCAGTACTATTATAGCCTTTTTTGTCATTTAAGTAGCGCAAACTTTTTGAAAGTATTCAATCTTTTCGTTGTATCAGCGAATCTATAGAGGTATTTTTAAAAATCAGGATAAAGATGAGATCTAGTGGACATCTGGAGATGAGAAAAAGTTTTTGAATTGATTTTTCCAACCATAAAATGCTAAGTGCTTTTGTAAGAAAATTTTTACAAAAGAGAGAGAGAGGGGGAAAGAGAGAGGGAGAAAGAGAGAGAGAGAGAGAGAGACAGAGAGAGAGCGAGAGAGAGAGAGAGAGAGAGAGAGAGAGAGAGGGGGTG